CCTTCAAAAGGCCAAGATCAGCTGACCCTGTGGATGGCAAGTTACTAAAGCAAAGTGTGAGTTACCTCTGAGTTGTAGGATCCAAATGGCATCACTTCCTGCATCTGGGTAAGAGTCGTTACAGAGGGTAGAGTGATTATACTTCTGGTGATAAGACTGAACAGGTCAGCTCGATCATCAGAGCCAAGCAGCAAACGGACATCTTGGTAGCTAAGAAAAGACAGTTTGGGAACAGCAAGCTGGGAGGAGTTTGATTTGATGTTGATAAGCAGGAATCCAAGTAACCCAAAAGGGAAGGACACACTGACTGGTGTATCACTCTGATGGAAGAGATAAATGGTACATTTGTCAGGCTGTCTACACAAACCTCACAAAAGGTTAGAGGAAGAGTTTCAGGCTCAGAGCTTCCATTCTTCTCCCCTCTCCCTCCCCATCCACAAGACATCACCACCCCTGGAGTGACATCCTTCTTACTTTCCTCCCGTTCAACCTCAGAGGGAAGCCTGCTACAGTTTAATATAGTAAACCATGATTTTCCAAAGTGTGTTCTGCTGAACGCTTGTTAGTTTGGGGAATGGTGGGCTGAACCAAGTTTAAAATCCTTTTAACTACAGGACTTCTTGAGATCTTTAATGAGTTAATGTGCAGTACAAATCTTCAAGAGACGTAAACAGCAGGCAGCACTTCCAAATGTCTCAGGCCATGGAACTCTACTGTCACGAAGCATATATGGGAATAATTTTCCACTGAATATACTCTGGACAAAACTGAACTCCAAAGAGGTTTCAGTAGGTCTTTAAGATACAGATGGTAGCACACATGAAATCAAAGTTCTTACATAAAAACATGGATTTGGCTTCCCCTTCCTATCTAAATAGTTTTCGGAAGTTAAAAATATGAAACACATCTGTTGGCTCTGGTACTGGCCCTGAATCAGGAACCTGGATGCACATGTAGGGGGCATGTGGGTGTCACCTGAAGTCAGCGACAGTGACGAAGACCTCTTGGCGCACAGGGCTGAAGAGAGAATGCAGCGGCTCCTCCTCCACCAGTATCTGCAGTGAGAGAGGAAGATCTTTATAGAGAGTTGAGAGTGTGCTAAACCATTAGGCCAGATGATGAGAGACGTGGATGGCCTGCAAGAACAATGGCAGGCCCTTTGACAGCTCTGCTCCTGGGCTCCACAGGACTGGTACCAGGACCCTGGACACTCTAAGAGTTCAGTCTCTGAGGCCAGGTCCTGAGGCCTGGCTCTGCCTCTAACTAGCTGCTTGAGCTGATACATGTTATTAACTTCCCTGTAACTCAGTTTCCTCATCTGTAAAACGAGATAACAGTACTACTTACCTTTAGGGGTTGGTTGAGAGTACTAAATGAGCTAATTCATAATACTGAGTCGACCTCAGTAACTGTTAGATAGTGTCTGTTATTCATTATTCTTATTACTAGTGATTATTTCCAGTTTAGGCATCCTAACACCTCTTTCTCCTAAACCAGTCATCTCTTCCATAGTGCCTCAGATTATTCTAAGTTACTTATCCTAGAAAAGGACTAACTTTCCAAATTCCACACTGGCAGAGGGAAAGCTGCTTTGCGTTGCTAAATAAACCTGCAGAGTGACAGGATAAAACAGAGGCTTTGGAACTAGAGATACCTGGGTGTGAGCAGTGGCTCTGCCTCTCATTCGGTGTGAGCCTGTGTGTAGTATTTAACTTCCCTGTGCTTGAGTTTCCTTATCCATATGGAGGAGATGAGCTGTATCTCAGGGAGTTGATGTGAAGAGCAAATGTAAATGGTTATGGTGGCAGCCTTAGTGGACTGTCTACCCAGCCTCTCTGGAAACTGCCCTCGGCCATCAGGAGTGGGCATCTCACAGCTATGTTTCTGCTAAGTCATTCTGTCCCACTAAGCACAACTCATCTGTCCAGGAGTACACACTGAGGTCAACTAGCTTCTCCTTCTCAGGAATCTGGAACTGAGACAAGAAGCCTCAATCTCAGTTTGGCTGGTCTATTAAAAGGAGAAAACTTTAATTTGGGAGCACTGCCCTATGGACAGGGTAACCGAGAGAGCAAATTTTGGTGAGAGAGTGCTAGAAGGGAGAGAGGAGGGGGAGCAGGGGAGAGAAATGGAAAAGCGTACCAAGGAGCGAGAATAAGAGATGGAGAGAAAGTTCTCACTGAGTGTGCGAGAGTGTTCTTCTGGGTTTCACTCTCTTCCTGGAGCAGGCTGCTCTTCCTATCACAGGATTCCGGGGAACACTCAGTTATCCTAGGAACAAATCTCCCCTTTTATGTTTCAGCTGCTTCTAGTAGATTTCGCTTACCTGCCAACAAAAAGACCTCACTCCAAGCTTAGGATAGTGCCTGGGGGCAGCGCTCAACAAACATTACTGGGTTCTCTTTCGTGCCCCTTTCTAAGCTTTCTTTCTCTTCTCATTTTTCCAACTCTGGTTGGATCTTACAGGTGGCCTGCTTGATCTTCTTCCTTATTTCTTCATGGACCTTACTTAGTTTTATGACTTTATAGTCTGGAAGGGACAAAGTGTAAGACTCTGCCTCCAGCCTGACAGAACTGTCTGTCCTCCGAATTCCTTCAGCATTTATTCTCCAGACCACTGACGAGTCTTCCCGAAACATCATTCTCATCCATTTCTTGCATCACAGCTCAAGTAATACAGTTACTCTTCAATGCTGAGTACACCCTTTAACTATTTACCAAACAACAACACAGCAGCAGGGATTTGTGGAGGACCCCAGTGCAGAATTAGGGTGGGGCCCCAAGCGGGCAGAGGAGAAGTAGGAGGCACTAAGGACAAGTCTGACGACGTTAAATTTCTATTACAGCATATCTTGGTGCCTGTGTCAGCTGCTGGGCAACAGCAGTTTCTAAAAACCATATTCTTGGTCATTCTGCCATATTTCAGGAAGCAGAACCCTGGCCTTGCATCACCAGCTAGTAACTTACTATCCAAAGTCCCTACCCACTAGTCCTTTCTCTCAACCCTATCCATCGCATCTGCTGAGGCTTGGATCAGGAGATCTATCTGAATTAATTTCACCCAAATCTTGTCATTACTTTAATTTATATCCCAGTTCTTCTCTTTTCTATTAAAGTTCTCATCATATTTTTTGCAGCTTTTTTGATTTTGAGGTAACACATAATAAACTGTACATATCTAAAGTGTATAGTTTGATTATGTTTGACATATGTATACACGTGTGAAACCATGAGCACTGTACTCAAGGATCACTCCCAGGAGTTTTCTTGTGCTACTTTGTAAATTCTCCCTCCTCCCCCTCCCCACTCTACTCTTACCTCCAGGAAAACACTGATGTGATGTCACTATATAAGCCTGCCTTTTCTAGAATTCTATATAAATCGAATCACAGAGCATATCTTCTTTTTATTTGGCCTCGTTCACTAAGCATAATTATTTGGAGATTCATCCAAGTTGCAGAGTGTATCAATAGTTCATTCCTTTTATTCCTGAGTAGTATCGCATTTAGTGGATATACTAAAACTTGTTTGTTCACTCATCTGTTGATGGACTTTGGGTTGTTTCCAGTGCTTAGTTATTACAAACAGAGCTGCTATGAACATTTGTGTACAAGTCCTTGTGTGGACATATGCTTCATTTTACCTAGGAATGGAATTGCTGACCTGGCTTTCTCCTCAGCAGAACTGTCTCTCCTCTTGGTTGTTGGGAGCAGCACTTTAAAGCCCTACACATGGGCTTGCAGGGATTTTATAGATTTGAACAATGAAGCACTGATCCATGCAATTTTCTCAGGGACGCGACTACCTTTCATTCTTCTAGGCTGAACCTCTTGCGAGTCCAAACTTCAGTTGACATCTGACAGTGGGTACTTTACTACTGACTGGACAGATCCAGATGCAGAGCATAGGGAAATTCAGTGTGTTTCTGCTGTTTGAGACTTGCATTTGTGCATCTTCTGAGCTGGCTGGTTGAACCATGTGGCAGCTCACTGCTGCCAATTCTTGTGGAAGTAGGATTCTGGAACCATGCCATTTTGGCTGGGTCCTGTGGTTGTGTAGAACCCTCTTTCTATAGAGTGGAGCCAAGGAGAGAGCTGCACCCATTCTGAAATGTGCATTATATCATTCTGTTCTTCTTGATGTATTATTTGGAATCGTTCTCAACCTACTTATGAGGTGCACTCACTTCCAAACTAATTGTAAGCTCTTGGAGGGCAAGGAATAACACTTCTAGAAAATTTGTATCCTTTTCAAAGCACCATAGTGTTCTAGATACAGAAGATCTTTGATATAGTTCATTGCTTAACAAACTTGTTAGCTGGTTAGCCTTCAATTCTGACAACTAATCATCAATCTAATCAGCTTTATAGATCTGTGGTTTGAAAATGAACTGCTCATTTTTCTGAAGTGTACAAGAAATCCTAGATTCAGAATTTGAGAGCTTTAGAGAAACTGAAGGGAACATTTCTCAGATGAGAAAACTAAAGCATCAGGAAGCTAATTGCTTGCTTAAGTGCATCACCTCCTGTGAAAAGCCCTTCTGGATCCTTTGACATGGAGAAGTAGTAACTTACGGCTAGAAAGAGGCAGAACTGGCACTAGGACCTAGGCATTTGATTATAGAGTCTGCCTCAAAGCTGCTGCTTGCAGCACTGTCTTTTCTGAGAAATTTAAATGCTGTTCCTCTCCTTTCTACTCTTCCTGTAGTTGGTCTTCAAGGGTGATTATATTTGTAGATTACCCGGTCTATTTCTGCTCTGTGTAGAGATTCTGATACAGAAGAGGTTAAGGGAACTGATAACATAGGTGAAGTCAGTAAAAATTTTGTTAGCCAAGTCACTGAATTTATATGGTCCTGATAATTTGTGATAAGGTCACAATACTTACATTTAGCTTATGCACAATGTCTGCTATATGGTTGCGAATGAATGACTCTGTGGTTTCATCATAAGGTAAAGTTCGGCTGAGAGAAGACAAAGATCTTAGGAATTTCAGCTTCTCAAGTTCACTCTGAGTTTGTGGAAAGATGATAAAAACACGAGTATACATTATAATCTCATTTGATAATTGTAAAGCTCTTTTGAAAAGTTTCCTGGAATGTCTTAAACATCTGACATCTCATTCAATCCAATATTAGTTTTTTATTATAAGGAATGAGTAAGTTATAGAGGAATAAAATTCCTTGTCCACTGGTCCTGCCTCGGTCTGGGACCTCACTTTCCCTCTCAGCTAGATTTTACTAAGTGCTCCGTGGTGGTTCTCCCCTCCTTTAGTCTTTCCTTCCACCTACCCACCCTGTGTACTGCTGTCTGATTAAGCTTCCTAAAGGTGTCCTGTGATGCTGTTACTTCTAGCTCTTCTGATGTCATTAAAGATTCATTAATGAAGAATAAAATCTTTTTGTATTACTCTCTTTTTCTGATTATAAAAGCAATATCTATTTATCATAGAACTTGAAAAAATACAGTATAAAGAAGAAAATAAAAGACACCAATAACTCTACAATCTTGAGAAAAAATTTTCCAGTCTTTTCTCCATTGCGTGTAGATGGTATAAACTGGTTTAAGCTCTCTGGACAGCAAGTAGCAATATAGAGCAAGAAGCTGACTTCACGGCCTGGTTCTCTCTCACCTGGATTAGTGTAACAGGCCAACACTGGGTTGCTCTGCTCCAGCTTTGCCCCCTCCCAATCTATTCCCCCAGCTATCACCAGATTCATCTTTATAAAACGCAAACTTGATCAGGTAACTCCCCTGCTGAGACTCTCTCAATAGCACCCGTGGAGGTCAGGGCCCTTTCCAATGTGACCCCAGCTAACCTCTTCATTCGCCTCTTGTTTTGCCCTGTAGCATTCTGAGCTTCAGCCCAGTTAAGCTTCATGCTGCCCTTTCTCGTTTCTGGGCCTTTCTGCCTTTTGAATTCTCTACACTTTTTGTTTACCGACTGAAATCTATATATGCTTTAAGGCTTGGAGCACGTATTTTCTCCTGACGCTGGATCAGGTACACTTCTACGTGTATCCATAAACCACATGTGTATGTTGCTAACATGGCATTTGTGACACTCTGACAAAATTACCTTCTTACTCATCTATTTCCCTGACTGGATGTGCGTTCAGGTCAAGGCAGGGAATGGAATTTTTTTTTTTCCAGTTCACTGCAGCAACCCAAGCCCTTTAATTACAAAAAAAAACTTTCATAAAGTCTTGCTGACATGAAGTGTAAAGAATAGTCCAAGCCAAAAGTAAAGATCAACATTTTGGCTTTAAGTGTTTTTGTTTTTTTAAATTATTGGTATTATACATAGAGAGAATGTAAAGCTTGTTGAATTTTCACAAATCAAAAACATCCATACATATATATATTCAAAGGAAATGACATCTGAGTCTCAAAGAGGTATCTGCACTCCCACGTTCACTGCAGCATTATTCACAGCCAAAACATGGAAACAGCCCAAGTGTCTGCTGACAAATGACAGACAACTTCAACACTGTGATTTAGACAGACCAGGCTTCTGTACGTTCTTCAGACATGCTCTGCCGCTCCTTTCTGCCACAGGGTTGTTAAACATTTCATTTCCTATCTCCGGAACAGTCCCTCCACTTCTAACTTTTAGTTTCTCCTACTCATTCCTTAGATTTGAGCTCAAGGGTACTTCCTCAGAAATCTCTTCCCTTACCCCCAGGTTAAGACAAACTCTTGTTACATGCTCTCCTAGAATGATGGACGTTTTACCTAAACAATGGAATACTGCATTAAGTAGGACAACACAGAGCTATAGTTATTGACCTAGAAAAATTTCTCTCCCATCATCTCTGATATGTATTTTTCCATAATCACATGCATTTTTGTATGCACAGAAAAAAAGTGAAAATATATATACCAAAATGTTAATGGTAGTTTTCTTAGGAGAGTGAGATTAAGGAAGATTAACTTTTGACTGTTATCATCATTTTGTTTTTATAGGAATTTTATAAGTTTTACAAATATAAATATAACTTATAAGAACACATAAATATACTTATTATAAATATAAAAATTAACATAAAAGTATTGTGGACACAATGTCTCCTGCCATTTCTGTAAATGAAGGATGTTGTGGCCATCAAGCCATCAGCCACTGCAGCGCCCCACACCTTCTCATACACAGGAAAGCACTAAAATCATGAACTTGAGATATCTGTTTTTGTGATTAGCAGTAATCTTTTGATGTTCCACTATATATCTTTTTTTGTTTTTCAGAAAAACTCCTTTTTCTCCTGGCTCCTCCCTTACCTCTTTGGGACAGCCCCCTAGAGCAATCTGAGAGGCTGCCATCCCAGGCTATGGGTCTCAGTAAGGCCACCCAAAAAAAACCATAATTCTCAACTTCTAGGTTGTGTATTTTTTTCAGTCAACAGTATAAATATAAACAAATTTTGTAACCTATAGTATCAATTATTCATATAATAAAAATTTAAAATATTTACTAGAATGGAAGAATAAGTTGGGTAACTTGTAAGATTGCTTGTGCATACCTTTAGTTCACCATTTAAAAACTCCTGGATGGACTGGATCAGACTCTCAACGATGGCCTGGCCAAGGGGGCCCTGGTGGGTCACGCATTGGAAGGTGTCTGTGAGGGATTCCTGAGGGAGTTCAGGGATGTCTAAGATGTCCGAGTCTAACACAGGAAGAAAGACACTGGATGACGTCTCTGTACCACATGGTTTAGTGGGGAGAACGGCTGGACATCAGGATACACAGGTCCTGCTCTCTCCTTTACTATTTGCTCTGTGACCTTGGGCAAGTCCCTTCCCCTCCTGAGGCTCAGTTTTTTTCAATGACAAATTCAGTGTTCTCTAAGGGCCTCCAAAGCTACAAAAACCTTTAAGACTGAGCTGTAGTAGGCTGTTAAAGAGTGTGGACCTTGTATCTCGGTTTGAGACTCATCTGAATCTTGGCTCTGCTGTTTATTAGTTATTTGAGCTTGATCACAGTTTGTCTCTTGGAACCTTAGATTCCTTATCTATAAAACAGGATTACTGTGAGGATCAAGTGGGATAATACATACAAAAGACTTATCCCAGTACATGGCCCATAGTAAGCACTTAAATGATAAATACTATTATTCATATTCAACACTCTATGACCCTGTGGCGACAAGAGCTGAAAATTTATCAGCCCCTGCTGCTGATCTCCTCCCACTGGACCAGGCTGCGGAGTAAGCACCTGAGCTATCTCCGTCCTGACCCGGGGTATACTCTGGTCAAGGGCCCAGGCTCCAGAGTCTGCCTAGCCTTGGATCCCTGTTCTGCCTCTTTGGAGCAGGACCTTACTTTCTCTGGGCCTACTTCTACGTTTCCAAAATGGGAATGACGACAGAACCTACCTCATTTGGCTGATACGGCGCCAGCTTCAATGAAGTGTTGGCAAATGTTATTCCTTTGCTTACTGAGTGACAATGATCATGGTGGCCTCATCTTCCTTTTCACGGAGCTTTACATCCTTGCCTCCTCCGTTTTCTAATACCAAACCCCTTATTCCTATTGGGCAACTAGTCTTCCCAGTTCTCCCTAACACAACTTTCGCCTGAGGGTTTCTATCACTCTACTTTCGTACTCCTCTCGGTTTCCTGAATAGCCCCTCCTGGAGACTCCTCCCCTTTCCTGCCACGTTCCTGTCATCCACTAGAAGCTGTGTTCTTGTTCACCTCTGAGCTTTGCACAGGCTTCCCTTCTGCCTGCATGTTTCTCCTTCTCCCCTACCCACCCTTACCCCTCTTTGCCTAGCTAACTCCTACTCATCCAACAGGGCTCCGCTCCAGGAGGCCCTTCCTGAGTCCCCTCTTTGCCCATTTTGGCTAAGTATCTTCCTAACCCCTAATCACATGCATTATACTGAGTTCCAATCACTTGCTTATAAGTACGTTGTATCTGTTCTGCAGCTAGATCGGTGCTTAGAACTCCAATAAATATTTGTTGAATGCACAAGTGAATAAATGTAGTTCCTCAAACATACCAGTCTTTGTGGTCCCATGTTCATGCTGTTCCATCCACCTGGAATGTTCTTCCCTCTACTTTTTACCTGGGTTGCTCTTTCAGGTCCTTGAGGCCTCTTTTAGCTTTAAACAGCATCATCTCAGACATGTGTTCTCTGACAACCCTGGTTTAAAGCAGGTTCCCATCACCCTTATTTTTTGTCTCAGCCTCTGTTCAATTTTTTCATAGTGTTTGCTGCAACCTGTAATTTATTTATTGTCTGTTTACTTTTTTTGGTCCTTTTCAGCACTATAATGTAAATTCTGTGAGGACAAGGACCATGTTGGTCTTATTCATTGTATGCCCAGCAGCTGGTACTCAGTAATTGTTTTTGTAGAATAAACGAAAGACAGTTATTCTGTAGTCCAATCCAGCTTCCACCCACACCTACCTTTCCCTTCTCAGAATCCTTCCAGGACTTAGACTGTGCAAGTCTTCAGTATTATCTGTCTCAGGACCAAGTTTAGTTTTCAAAATGTCTAGGATAATGTGTCTTATCCCCTTTTGCCAATCGTATTCCGAGGTCTTAAAGTCAGGGACCAAATTTGTTGTCAAAGTCTAGTCAAGGGCTGGTCATCCTGTAACTTAATGTGAACAAAGAGTCCCTTTCCCCTGCTCCCTCCTCGCCCTTCTACTCCTTTCCCCTTTTCACCTGTAAGTTCAAGGCTACTTGAGCCTTTTTTAATATCCTCTAAGTTGCTCATCTGCAAATCCACACTTCCTGAATCAGTGTCAGAAGCACAAGGGATCACTATTTCTTCCCGACTACAGATCCTAGGAATGAGAGGGGATGAGAACAATTAGTTTTTCAGGACTGCTTCTGTCTCATCATTCAAATGAAAGCTTAAATGTCACCTTCTTAGACAGGCATTTATTGATCACCAATCTAGGTTAAGTAGCTTCTCTGCCCCACCCCTCAGTCTCACATTTTTTTGTTTTTTGTTTTCATAGTATTTAAACATTACCTACAGTTACCAAGTTCACTTGTGTTTGTTTACTGACTCTTCCATCACTATAAGCTCCAGAAGGGAAGAAACCTTTGTCTACATGGTCACAGTTGTGTCCCCAGTACCTATCATATTGTCAGCCTCCTGGGGACTGAATGGATAGGCAAGAGATACTATGCTGCTGTTAAAGAAACAGGTAGAACACCACACCTCCACCTCCCCAACCCCCTTTATCCTTTCCTACTTTTTTCTCTTTTCTATAGCACACAACATCTTCAAATATATCATTCACTTCTCTGTGACATTGTTTATCACTTCTTTCCACCTGCTAAAATGTAAGCTCCATGAGGGCAAGGATCTTTGGCTGCTTTGTTCATGAATGTATTCTAAGAGACTAGAATAGTGCCTGACACATGGTAATACTCAATAAAAACTGATAGAGTGAATGACTGAATAGATCTATATTTGCTGAATATTTAGCACATAAGAGTGAATGAAAAAGCGAGCTGCCAGCCTGTTTTCCAAAGTGTTTATAGCACTTTATGTTTCCATCAGCAGTATTTGAGTTTCAGGTGCTCCACATACCTGTGAACATTTGGTATTATCTTTTTTATCTTAACCATCCCACTAAACATGTAGCAATATTCCACCGTGGTTTAATTTGCAGTGGTGTTGATCATCTTTTCATGTGCTTATTTGCTATCTGTATATCTCTGATGAAGTGTCTACTCTAATCTTTTGCCTGTGTTTTTCATCGGGTTGCTTGCAAGGTATGCTGGTAAATGTTTAAAGCAGACTTTCTAACTGTAGTTCTTAAGTTCAATATTTTCATTTTCACTAATGAGTAAGTGTATTTGAAACTTTAGAAGTGACCTCTTTTCTGAATTGGATAATAGTTTTCAAACATGGGAAGACTATTTCCTCAAGTTTTTGTGCTATTTACAACATAAAATCTATAGGTGTGACATACTTTTAAGTTTAATTTCTATTAACATTTTCTCCAACATTTAAGTTCAGACAATAACAAAGCAATAAGACAAGCCCTGGTTTGTAGCATTTGTTGATTCTATGGCTTAAATATTCCCATTGCAGCCACAATCAAGCTGCCAATGTTATTCTAGGAAGAGATGTATAGTAGCTCACCATGATATAATGTTTCCACCATTCAGACACAATACATATAAGCTACCACAAAAGCAAAGACCATGTTAAATTAGGAAATGATGAATTTCATTTTCAGTATACTTTATTTCATTGGAAGTCTGTATAATTTAATTTTTCTAAATAGTTGTATTTAGCAACCAATTTGCAAAATTCCTGATACGAGACTGACGTGCTGCCCACTGTGCTAAGAAGGCGTTGCAAAATTCCTAATAAATTTAACAACTGACCTTCGCATGCCAGTATGAGGTTTCAGCACATCATTGGTTGTCTTATTACTGAGTTGGAAGAGTTCGTTATATATTTTAGATCAGTACTGTCCAATAGAACCTCCTGTGATAGTGGAAATGTTCTGATTCTGTGCTGTCCAATAAAACCTCCACCAGCCACATGTGGCTATTAAACACTTGAAATGTGGTTAGTACAACCAAGGAACTGACTTTTAAATTTTGATCAATTTAAATTCAAATTTAAATATACACATATAACTAGTATACCGTAGCCAACAGCACAGTAGCAGACACAGAAAGAACTGACTGCCCTATTTGGGATAATAATATCTGGGACACTAATAATGATCATAGGAGTTACCACATTGTGAATATTCATATGCTCATAATAGTTTAAAAAAGCACACATTATGGAATCAGACTGCTCAGGTTCAAATCTTTCAGTTTCCTTCTCTCTAAAATGGGAATACTAACATACATACCTCACAGAATAGTGATGAGGAGTAAATGAAATAGCGTACTTGGGGGCGCTGAGAACACTGTCGGGCTATTCTGTAAACGCTCAATAATTGCAGTTAGCTATCACTGAGTTCTTAGAAGAGTCACTTCCCTTTTTGAGCCTGTTACTTCAAGTATGCAAAATTAGGCTAATATGCTCCTCACACAAATGCTTTGCAATTCCAATAAAACGTCACTCATACGTCAGTTACCAAACAACCCTTAGAGGAAATTGCCATAATTTTCTAATGAAAACAGAAAAACCAAAACGCCAAACCAAAAACCCTGGAAAGTTGCTAGCCACGGGACCCATTCCATTTCTTTAAAATCGGCCGGGGTGCAGAGAGACGATTGAGTGACAGTGCAGTGGGCCAATCAGAGGAGGCCCCGTCTCGGGCCCACCCAGAGCCCTCGCCCAACCGCGCGCCGGCAGCTCCCCGAATGAGACCGTTGCGAGGCGGTCGGTTCCAAGTAGACCAGGGACTCGGGGGGGAAGAAGCGGGCCTGTACGCGAGGACCGCGGCGCCCTGGGCGCGCGAGGACTGGAATTCCGGCCGCGGCTGCTGGGAGCGGTCCGGTCCAGCTGGACGGCAGGGACTGACCTGTGTCTAGAGCCCATCCCAGCACGCAGAGTCTGCCGCGAGTCCCTGGCGTCCCCTCCGGCGCGCTCTTGGAGCCACTTTCCCGAGCGGAAGTCCGCCTGCTGCTCGGGCCCTGGTGGGACCTGCTCGGAGGAATGGCGCCGCCGGGTGAGGCGTTGCGCATGGCTCAACCACGGGGTCCCGCGGCCGGCATGCCTCGGCGAGTGGGCCGTCGCTCGCGGGAGGCTAGTGCTGGCCACTCGGGAGCCGGCCAGGCGGGATCCCCTTCCCCTGCGGGGCAGGGGCATGGGCTCGGGCTCTTTTGGGGTAGAGGGTCTGACGGGGGGCATCCAGCGGGTGGGATCCAGCGGGTGGGACTGCTGGCGAGCGGAGGAGGGGGGAGGGGGTGGGGGTGGGTGCGGCGCCGAGCTACGGGTCCCCCCGAGGCCCAGCCGGGGGACCGCGGCTACGGATCACCCTAGGTCTGGCTTCACTCATTCATTTGACTCTTGCGGGCTTCCTGGCCAGTCGGCCTAAGAGTGAGCTTTTGGCCAAATCATCCTTTTTTGCACCTTAGTTTCCTCTTCAGTGAAAGGGCAAGAAAATCACTCACTTCTCTTTGGGAGCTTAGAGCATAAGTTCTGAAGTTACAGTCTCTGGTACAAACTTGCACTCTGCCACGTATTCCTTATGTGACCCTGCGCAAGTTACTTAACTCCCCTGCACCTGTTTCTCATCTGTAAAATAGGTTAGTCACATTATCTGCCTCATAAATAAGTGTGAGTATTGAATGAGATGATCTCCTGCGAGGCATAAAACAGTGCGTGGCACTAAGTAACCACTCAGTGAAGTTAACTATATTGCTAGTTATTGCGTAGGTTCTGTGCACCATGAAATTTCGTGTAGTCTGACCACAACTTGGGGAATACGTACTATTGTTAGAATTTCCATTTGACAGATGGGAAAGATGGACTCTCAGAAAAGGGAGGTAACTTGCCCAAGGTAACAGTATCAGTGGCTCACTGCTCCATTATTTGAGAGGTTGAAGATAATAGAGTTTCTGCATTTAGATTCTCATCTAGTTACCTTAGGGCAGGTAACTTTCTGAGCCTCAGTTTCTTGGTCTGTAAACCCTACCTTTTTGGATGTTGTGGGGATTTAACAACACAATGTATACAAAGTACTTAGTATAGTATGGGTATACCCAACACACGTTAAATGCTCAATTTTTGGCCCCCAAAGTTTTTATGGTTAATATGAGGTGGGAAGATCAGGATTCTGGCACAGATGCTGTGTTAGGCGGACTTATAGTCTAGCTGGGAAAATGCTAATTATAGTCACTCACTAGATCTTAAAGCATTGAGTACATACATACATTCAAGGCACTGGGATTCAGCATTAGTATCTTGATTCCTCTTTTTACATCTTTCTACCCATTAGCAATTCTGACTTTAACTTTGAATTTTAGCCAGACTCCGACCACTTCTCACCACCTCCGTTGCTGTCACCTTGGCTTAGACCATCACCATCTTTTTCCTTGAATTATGGCAGTAGTCTCCTAACTGGTGTCCCTTTTTCTGTCCTTGCTCCTCTGTCGTCCCAACACAGTATTGTTTGTTCTCAATACAAAGTTCCTGTTAAAATGTAAGTCAAATCACTCCTCTGCTCAGAATTTTCCAGTGGCTCCCATCTCACTTGATAAAAGCCAAAGTCCCTCTAAGGCCCTCCGGATTTGGCCTGTGCTATGTCTGACACTTACCCCTTGCTTACTCCTCTCTAGCCATGTTGTCCTCCTTGCTCATACAAAAAAACACCAGCTACACTCCTAATTCAGGGTCTTTGCAGTTGCTTGTCTTCTTGGGTTAGTTTCCCTCCAAATATCTTCATGACTTGCTCCTTCTTTTTCTTCAGGTTTATACACAATGTCTTTATTTCTTAGTCAGGCCTTCACAGGCTACCGTATGTGAAATTGCAGCTCTTTCCATATATCCCTTCTGTGCTTAATTTTTCTCCACCTTCTAATGTGATAAATCACGTTTCTTAACTGTTTCATGTAATGTCTTTTCTCACTAGAATGTAAGCTCCATGAGTGGGATTTTGTTTTCTGTTGCATTTTTAACACCAAAAATAGTGCTTGATATGTAGTAGGCATTCAATAAATATTTGATGAATGATAATCCACATTATAGATCTCTTTCTAGTTTTTTTTTTAAAAGAGTGTTTACATTCTTTAGGTTATTAACACACACACAGTTAAATAGCACCAACATTCATGCCAAAGTAGGCATCCCTTCTGCAACATTCTCCAAAAAAACTGGAGCATGAACTCTATAGCTAGACCAGGGATTGAATCTAAGATTGGCTATGTCCAAGCTGTTCTGGTTTTCAGTTTTCTTATTTGCAAAATGCCTTTCTTAAGGAATTCTAGTTCAAACTAAATTTGACACTATAGGCAAAGGACCATTAATCATTAATGTTAGCCTTGTGATTACTGTTACTTGGAAGGCAGACAGTTCATGAAGTTGCTCATTTGAAAGTTTTTTTTTTTTTCAAATGAAAAGTAAGAATGGCCCACTCCTATAATTTCTTTCTGTCCCCTGGAGCATAATAGATGAGGATTAAGTTTTCTTTCCATTTATTCAGCAAATACTAATTCAGTACCACTGTGTGTCAAGCAATGTGCAAGACTTGGAAATACTGGGATGAATAAAAGCAATAGTCTTTCCTCAGGGAGCTTACAGTTTAGCAGAGGAATCAGACATTACACTATTAATTATAGTTGTGACAAGTACTGCATGGAGAAGTCCAGGTTGCTGTGAGTGAATATAGGAACGACAACAATAATAAGGTAATAGTAGTAGCAGCTAACATTTCTATAGCACGTTACGTGCCAGGCACTTAAGTCTTTCTGTATTAACTCATGTGATCCTCATAACAGCCCTGAGGTAGATACTGTTGTTAACTTGGGGAAACTGAGGCACGGCTAGTCACATTGGAACTGCCACAGCCACCTCGCTAATAAGTGACAGAGCTAGGATTTAAACCTGGCCCCAGAGGCCACGTCCTTCACTACTTTGTGGTTGCTGGGGACCTTTTCCAAAGGAGGGCTGTTAAGGGGCTTCTTAAGGAAGAGATACTTGAACTGAAATCTGAAAGTAAAAATTAAGCAAAGTTGAAGTAGGGGATGGCATTACAGCTGGGTGGGAAAGAACATGTCTCCTTAGAGAAACAAGGAGCCACGGATGGAAGAGTGAGGGAAGAGATCCGTTTGAGAGGTGGGCAAGGTCATGGTGAGGATTCAAGATTGGATCTGTCCTAAGAGGTATAGGAGTTACAGACATACTTGAAACCGGTATGATGAGTCCTGTGCTTTAGATACACAGAGGCTCCTGGGAGGACCATCCTTCAGAGGGCTGAGGACTGTGCCCACCACTTCCCAAGGCATCTCTCCAGGTTGAACCTCCAGGTTCCCTCACCCTTCCTCATGGTTTGGTTCCCAGACCTTGGTGCACTTCATCATCAGAACTATATACAGAACTTTGGAATGGTGTGGAGTGTATTTATTTAATGGTCATTTCCCCCCAAGGTTCAAGCACTGTCTTCCTGTTGGCCCTGACAATCATAGCCAGCACCCAGGCTCTGATGCCCACTCACTACCTCACCAAGCATGACGTGGAGAGACTGAAAGCCTCGCTGGACCGCCCTTTCACAAGCTTGGAAGCGGCTTTCTATTCCATCGTGGGACTCAGCAGCCTTGGTGCCCAGGTGCCAGATGTCAAGGTAAGCCACTTTTATCTTGGTGGCCTCATCCCTTCACTATGTTCCTTTCTTGTACTTCTTGCTCCTTTGAGGTAACTTTGGCTAATCCAATAAAATAAATACTTATATCAATTGACAGATACTTTTTTTTTTAATACTTAATGTATGTTAGGTCCACGCCAGGTATTTCAGTAGAGAATAAAGAAGAGCAAGTCATAGATCCTTTAGAAAGTTTTACTGTAGCTTTTACTGAAACTTTTACAGTGAGACTCTGCCCTGTGTATGTGACTAATAAATGATAAAGGAGTTCAGGATGGGGAGCACTCACCTTTATGAAACAGGGACAGTCATAGCATCAGGTAGTTTGATACACTTTTTGGACATTTGATGAGGAAAATGCAACATGACTGAAACCTTTCCTGGATTTAGAAACAGTCTTACATGAATTTACATTTTATTCATCACAGCAGCGTGGGCAGCTAGGGTAAGGAATTAGGGTCAGGTTTCTCACGTAAGTTTTGTGTGTTAGTTTTCTTTGGCTGTGTAACCTATTACCATAAAAAGTAATGATTTGAAACAATGCTCATTTATGCGCAGATAGTTCTGTAGATCAGAAGTCCACGCAGGCTTGGCTGGGCTCTCTGCTTAGTGTCTCATAAGGTGGCAATGAAGGTGTTGGCCAGGCAGGGCTCTTACTAGAGGCTCCGGGGAAGAATCTGCTTCAGGCCCCTTCAGGTTGCTGGCAGAATCCACGTCCTTGTGGTTGTAGGTCTGAGGTCCCCATTTTCTTGCTGGCTGTCAGCCAAGGATTACACTGTGCTCCTCAAGGCCACTGTAATTTCTCCTCATCTTGCTCCCTCTGCATTTAAGTCCGTAACAGCATGTTGAGTCCTTCTTTCTCTTCAAATCTCTCTGACCTCTTCTGCTACCAGTTGGAGAAGACTCTTCGATTTAAAGGACTTACGTGTTTGGGTCAGATCCACCGGGCTGATTTGCGGCTTTAATTACACCTGCAGAATCCCTTCACAGCAGTTCCTCCATTTGTGTTTATTTT